TTCTTTGATACAAGTTTCGTGTTTCAGTGTACGGTGATTCTAACGTTAAAATTCCTGTTAAATTGCGATCGAACAATCTAATTTAAGAAGGCATCTTTTATATGCTTAAATGTATCTAGTATTTTCTTGATGAAGTTGAAATCACCGACATACCGATACAAAATTCTGTCCCAGTGAAATTTCTGTCGATGATTCCAACGTAACTCCGTTCGCTGCATTATTCCACCTGTCATTGAGACGTTAAAGGCCTAACAATTCGCCTAACGCACAAAAGACGAGGATTCGTTCAAAATTTCGCGTTCCACGTGGAAACAGAGACGACTCCACGGGACGAACAGACAGAAAATCCTCAGGCAGAGGCATCTAATGTTCCGTAACCGTAACCGCAAAGGGGAAGTGAGTCTTATGCAGCGTTCGTTCGACGTTAGGGACGGCTTTTACGCTAAGCGAAATTAAAAACGAGCAACGGCCGCCCCTCTCAGTCTCTGTTCTTAGCATCCCGTGGCCGTACTTTTGCCAAAAGAGCTCTTTGAAGATACTGGCGGAAGCCTTTCACCGAATCAAAAGGATTCCCCAAGTAGCTAACCTCCTCTGACTTTCGGTCTGAGTTCCCTCGGTCTCGTCTCCCTACGTTCAGTTAAGCGATTCGTTTCTGAAGCGACGACTACCGAGTTTCGAGTGCGAATTTGAAATAATCGTGACCAATCCGTTTCTGAAAGTCTCAGAAGTCAAGAAGCAAAAATCGGATGACGAATGCTAAGAACAGCCGGCTACGAAGAATCACTTTAGAACAAGACAGTGTTCAGTATTCAGTAAAAATCACGTATATACTTTGTGAATTATAAATGAATATTAAGTACATTTATATATAGCGTAACTGCACTTGCTTGGCAAAAACAAATGAAGTTCTACTGTAATTCTTTTTTGGAAAACAACCCTTCATCTGTTGATCAAAGCTTTTTCTTTAATCGATATGTTTCGTGATTGAAAATGTACTGAATTTCTAATGTACTGATCAGTGCTACTATTGACTAATATTTATTAAACGAAAAGAACAATCAGTTTAGATAAAGATACAGCGATGGACAAAAGAAAGAGGTTAGCGATAAAATTAAAAGAAATTAAAAGCAATTTAATCCTAAACGATTATATTTTCCAATGGTTCAATATCAGTTAAGAGTTGAAAACCAGTACAATGTCAGTGTTAATAACTTTTTGTACTAAACATTTTCTAACACGCTGCTGATAATAAACTATTCTGACAATGAGACATATATCTACTCGATTACGAATTTTCATGCAAATTTATGTTTCTACAGATACGTACGATAATAAAAATGGAATTTAAACAGCGATTCGTTTTATCGAGCGATTAAAAATTGTTACGAGCGCTCTGCTGTGAATATTTTATACATAGTTTCGTTACGTTTGACTCTCGTGGATTTTGCACACACGCACAAAAATCCGCAGCCATATAAACTCTTGCCAAACATGATCCAATTTCATAAATGCACCACGTTTTTTCACACACTTATCTCTTAAACGTTTCTTTCCCCTCCCCCCCTCTAGTATGTTCGTTAGTACATTTCAATCCTCTAATGCGTTACTTTCTGAAATACTTTTTCCCTCCCGCAAAATGAAACGTCGGTCCAGCATTGCGTGGCAAAGTTCGATAACATTCAAGCAGTGCACCGGTGCGGTCGTCACTAATGCTCTTTGACTCGCGCACGTGCTTTTATATAACGTAATTTGCCGAACTACCAGCCGTTGAATAAACTTACCTGCTCCAGCAGAAAATAGATCCGAAAGAGATTTCATAATCGCTTCGTGTCGTACGAACTTTCGTTCTCTTAAAGGCCACCGTCGTCGATTCACATTGTACATTCGTACAATATCATCGAAATGACGCGAAACAACGAATAATCGGGAAATAGTAATTATTCTCGCAGATGCAAACACCATTGATCATCCGCTCGACATTTACATTTACACTCGAAATGCCGGCGAGATTTTTTTCGACGTCGTACGAGTTTTACGTAAATGTATCATATTAGACACGTGCTTTGCAGAAAATATTTTTTTCTTTTTTTTTTTTTTTTTCAAAGAGAAACATTACATTTTATGTTATGTTACGTTGCAGTTCAACATCGTGATTTGTTCTTTCTTTTCCGTGTCATCGCGAAATAAGAATGCTTTGAATTCGAAAATGTCTTTTTTTTTTTTGAAGAGAGATATTACGTTATGAGTTGCATCAGAGTTTAATTACAAGTTTCTCGATGTTGTACGAGTTTTCTGGAAATATTATTAAGCACGTGCTCTGCTACATTCGAGAATACTTTCTTTCCCGTTGTATTGTTTCAATGAGAGATTTCATAAGACATTTCATTCTAATAAATCATCAACTTTCCAACTACAATCTACACGACTGATTAATCTTTACAAGGTATTGCACTTTGAAATGTTATTTAATAATAGTAGTGTGTGTTAACAGATCGATGTATTATCAAGATAAAGTAATGCAATATATCAACGAACGGAACGAATTTTCGTGTAACTAATTTTCGCTGGAATTCTAAATTTACAGTTGCTCACTACATTAGTAGTGGCATATGAAAAATATACAAAATGTCCCACGCTTATCCTCAGAAATGATGAATTCACATAAAAATCCACACTTCACGATCGCACGTTAACTAAACATCAATGAAACCAGCTCGACGATCATTTTTCGTTTATATTATAAAAGTATATACGTGGAGGGAGAATCCGTGTGAAAATACACCTGAGACTAAACTAAATGTTAATCGCAATATTTCCCAAATATCCAAGAAACCATCAACCACCCCCGAAACCACCCACAAAAGATCATCCAACCTTAATCACCCAGCTCGTTCGTCCGAGTAAAAACGAAAATTATTTTTATCCACGATGAAAGCCAAAGGCAGCGGCAAATCGCAGGATATCCCGCGTGTTGGCAGTTGGAAACGATAATGACGATGAAACCGAATGCCGGAGTAGCTCCGAGGTCTGCAACCCTTCGCCGGAAATGGTTGGACCCGTGCCAGGATCGTTCGTCGGCATTCACTTCGAATATCCGGATGACCCGGCGCCTCGCGTGCTCCCAAGGACAGACAAACGAAATTCCGTTGGCGTGCATAGGGGCAAAACTTTTTTGGGTCTTGATCGACGAAAACCGTACGCGGGACCACCACCTGCTGACCTCGTCGACGCGGCTCCTTCTCCATTTTGTCCCCTTCGGGGATAAATACGTTCGCCTCGACAGGACGGCCACGTGTGATATTAATCCGGCGCGATAGGGAGATACGTGGCTGGTGGAGATGGGCCGTGGGATGTTACCCGGGCAACTTCTCCAGCTAAGCTCGGGCAAGGGGGTGGGTGGCGGGAGATTTTCTTACCGTGTCACGTGCAATTTCGTGCCGCAAAATGCCAGCCAACCTCGGGCAAACTTTGCTAAACGCGTGGTCTCGTATACTTTGACGAACGTCGCTTCTAGGCTTCAGAACGGGGACGAGCGTGTTCTTTTGTGCAACGGAATTCGGTTTCGTGCCGCGTGAAAGGACCTTTTAAACGCGTTCAGCATTTCGTATTAGACGAGGGATGGCTGGAGGTATCGTAACGGAATAATTTTACTTCTGAAATTATCCTCAGCTTTTGTACTAGTGCGAGCGGGCTCGGATGCGCGTTCATAGAGAATTTGAAATTGCAACGTTGTAAAAGAGGATTTTTAATCTTTCAGTTTTAATAGTTTAATAGAGGTTATGTAGAGGAAGCTGCACATTTGGTAAATACACAGATGGTAAATTGGTAAAATTGTGTTATAAAGAGAGATTTCGAATCTTTGTGTGTTCATAAGTTTTTACAGTTGCAAAACTGCAAAAAGAAAAATAGGGTAACTTGCATCTTAGATAACACGACGGATCGACAAGAAAAATAGAAATTTTCAACCCTCCATGTACGACAAGTTGAAATGTAGAGGGGTAAATTAGAGTTAAATTTAGAGGGGTAAAGTTGCAGAAATGCAGATTTTGTATAAAATATTCAAAGCAGAGTATTCGCATCTAATCATTTTAGATTAACCCTTTCGTAGAGCAATGCCAAGGACTGGTGCAGTTAAAAAGAGAAAAGAAAAAAAAATTGGAAGATGGAAAATCTATTTTCTTTGAGTCCTAATTTTGTCATATTTTTTGATTATGTATATACTAAATATATTTATCAGAAACAGTTTGTTCAATTTCAATAACACCTAGGTAAGAATTAATGTTAAACAACGGGTAAATATAACTATCAGCAATCTATAAAGGATTAAATGGAAGAAGTATTATCATACGTATTGATAATAGCTTCGGAAACTTTTAATCCTTTATAGGTAATAAATAATTTACTAATGGTACCATTAAAATAAGATAGTATTTGCGTTCAAGATGATGTTAATCTTCAATATTCTAAGTAGTGGTTCTGCATTTATGAAAAATTTAGAGTTACAGAATACTGCATATAGAAAATATATAAAACATTCAAACTAGAATACTGTGTTCTAGATTAGATGGAAAATCAATAGCTTCGAAGATAGCAATTTCTAAAGACTTCGAAGCTACATATTCTAGTGAAACAAGTTGCACATTAGGCAAACAGATGATAAATGGTTTGATTTTGTGTTATAATTAGAGTTGAAATATTTGTGCATTCATACGGAATTGCAGATCAGATAAAAGATGAATTATGTGTCGACGATAGCTTCGAAAATAGCAATTTCTAATTTTTTTGTTTATGTTACATATTGTAGCAGAACTGCATATTGAACAAATACGTAGTAAAATTAATCTTGAACTCTTTTGATATAATTAATGGATGCTTGTGCATTCACCTCAGAGTTGTACAAAATTATTATGTATAATAATATACATTTATATATGTTTTCACAGTAGAATATTCGTTTTTATAGTAGTATTTAATAGGTGAAAAATATCTTGAATGTAAACTTACATAAAGATCCACAGTCCAGTGATGATGCAAAGTCGTTTGGCTTCAGTTACAGTTTACTGTAAATAAAAAAAATTACATTAAATTGTAACTTTAACTCTAATTTTTTAAATTGTGGATTATTGCATACAAATTGTACAGCCATATATCCATGTAACGTGAAACTTTTGTAGTCATTGAATGAAAATACTATTGAATGATGTGAAATTTAATACAACTTATGCTGTAATTATAGTATGGATATTCATTTGAATTTACATTTCTATGAATAATTGAAAATATTAAATTTTTTTTATCTATTAAATATCCATTAATTAATAAAATTGATAATTTTTATAAATTCTGAATCTGTCAGGAGAAGTATCATTTCAATTAAATACATGATATTTTGAACTACACACGATCGAAGGTACATTTATGAAAAACATTTCACACGAACGATGTGCCGATAATGCTTCCATTACTTTATGAGCTTCGTAGATGGTTACTAAAAAAATGGTGAAGCGTCCAATAAAACCCGTCAGAAAATTATATTTCTATTATTAATAGTGGATGAAGAAGGAGTTTCTGGCCACGCCTTGAAAGACAGTTTGTCTTGGAATAGTTAATTATATATCGGGACGAGATTCCCCGCGAAACCGCAAGGTAATTTTCATCCAGTGAAAATCTCGCCAAGCTTCGCCGCGCGATTGTTCTCTTCTACAAACAAATCATCGTTAATTCCGTCCCCGATGACCACCGGCTGGCACGGCAAGAATTATGCCGAAAATGCACCCTGCTCAGCACCACCGACGGTAAATAAACGACTCGGCTCGTATACGTTGGAAAACCTCGCCAGTTACTCGCGATTTCAGCGAGTCTCAGAAGCCAAACTGATCGAGACTCTTACCCTCTTACGAAGTTCTCAATGTCACAGCTAACCACGCTCGCCGTTCAAAAATTTGTAACATATTGAAATTTCAAGAGAACTTGTTCTACTGAAATTTTGATCGATTACTTTCGAAGATTAATGTTACAATTGTGATATTTCTCTTTTTGAAGAGAACGTAAGGAGAAGTTTATTTCGTTTAAATAATTTTGAACGGAAGTTCACGTAACTATAACGAACAATTTTTAGATTACTAAAGCACGCAGTAAAGAGCATTGTACGACTAACGATGAAAAGGTATCAACTTTTCAAACTGTTTTAACTTGGTAGATAAAAAATTGTGTAACTACTTATTTAGTCTCATTTTAAAATGTAAACTCTCTACTTTGACAATCCCGTTTTCGTCTTTTTCTTTAAAAGATCTTTTTAAAGAAAAGTAAGAAAGTAAAAATTTTCATTCACAATGTATTAAGATTGTAGAAATTTTTCAAACAATATTGAAATTGTCAGAAAAACTGGCTGTACGATATTTTCCTCGCCATTTTATTAAACTTTGAATACATAATGCAACGTTAAACGACGAGAAACTTAAGAAATTCCAACTTTTAGTCTAATCATTTCAACCCGATCCATAGCTCATTTCCTCCTACAATTGTTATTCTTTATTACAATTCTTTTGTTGCTACGCAAAATACACGTGAAAAAAATCATACCACTAAAAAGCACTAAAGATAAAATGAAAAAACTAAGACGACGCTGAAAAATAACAACAAAATCTTCGTCGTTATGAATCACGACCCATGATTCAATCCAACTGTCGTTACCCGACCTAACCAACATCCCAGGATTAGAACTTTCTCGATAAAGAAAAAAAAAAAAAAAAAAAAATAGCACTGTGCGTAGATACCACTCACGTAAAACTTCAACCCGTTCAAAAAGCCAGAGTCAAGAGCACGTGCCTGGCCCCTCCTCTACGGTATCATCTTATTAAACTCGCTCGTACCAACCGAGTTGCGGTAAACGATACTGTCAATCTTCTTCTCTTGTCCCTTTCTTGCTCCTGTCATCCTTTGCAGCAGCTGTTACCACGGGACCGCCCCCGAGCCGCGAAATTACAGAGCCCGGTCGGCGTTCCCAGCGAGAGGAACGCGTTCCTCGGCCAATTTACCAAGCGGTGATTCTAAGTCCGGAACGAGAAGCGTCTACAAACGAGGCTGCGCATCAATGGTCCGCCTGTGTCACCGGTTACTACGAAGTTGGTGCACGAGTCCGGGTCGGTTTGAACAGTCATTAGCAACGGTAGGGGTTGAACGCTGAAAAAGGATGCGAGAGCAAGGGTGGCGGAGACATCGGTCGCGATAAGGTGCCTCTTTTCAAACCGGCACCGCACCGATACCGCGTGGTTAATTTCATTAGAGACGGAAGCTAAGACGGAAGTTCAGGGTCCGCCAACGAATTCTCGGTGGCTTAGCGGGAAATACTGACATTATTGTTGCGTTAATTCTGCGGTTTTTGGTTCTAATTCTTCCTTAAAGTTCAAAAGATCTTTGGGAAATTACTTTCGTGCAAATCTTCAAATCACATTGCACTTACACTCCCGCTCAAATGTTTCAGGATACATTTCACTTTTAACACTCACGTTATATTTGCAGTGAGTTGGTACAAATGTTCGAATTCGGTCGAACGGTTTCAAAGAGAATAACATATTGCAAACATATCGATACATGTTTAAAAGCAAACGAATGAATTCGTTGAGTGTCGGTATCAAACTTCCAGACTTTCGGCAATTTCAAACACGCAAAGAGGTCAAGAAACATACATACACAAACGTTCGATGTTCTAATGTTCCATTTTTTTAGAAATTGAAATTCAACGAAGACCCTGACGATTTCACGTCAAAATCGTTTCATCAAAACACAATGCCAGGAAATTTTTACAGCCTATTACTCTAAATTTGCTCGAAAATTTACAATTCCGCGCAGAACCATAACGAAAGGAAAATCGTCGTCGCTTTCGCGAAAAAGCGATCGTTGCGTGTTCGGCTGGACGCGATAAACAGATCGCGGAGGGACAATTCTGCCACGTGTTTCGCGGCCCCTGCGGCGGTCCGCAAACCAACGTCGACAAGCGGACGAACAACCGCTAACAACGGTTAACGACCTTCAATGAAACAATGAACGACGACGCGGCACGTTGTTACCGAGCTGGCTACTGCAAATTTCGTCCTCCCCTCGCGAACCTTTCATCCCTCGTCGCGAATCCGCTCGTTTCCTGCGCGTCCACCATAAATAGCGGTCGCTGTTTGACGATCGTTATTCGCCCGCCCAGTGACTACGAGACGATCGCGTTTCCACGCGTTTGATACGTATCCGAATTAGCACTGTAAAAACGAGCTTTTGAAAGTCGACAACCTCGGTTCGAGCGTTAAGTGCTCGGAACTCTCCGAGCTCGAGCTTAAAAGCTAAAATTCTCAACGCTCGATATATATATATATTTCAGCATTCGTAGAAAATTTGAATGTGCAAAAATATACAAAAACAAATGTTCGATACAATGAAATGAATGTCTATTTCTATAAAATTGTAAATTTTTAAGTAAATCGACATAAATTTTTGCATTACTCCTATATCTAGTTGTAACACTTAACAGATGAGACAAATTTCTGAAATATCTTTCTTTTTCTCAATTTTAACGACGATTTTACAAAGAATCTAGTCTATTGTTATTACATACACTGAAACAACAACAAGACAAGAAGGTCTAGCCAGCATGTTACAACAACGAACTTGGCGCCGATAGACTCAAAGAAACCTCAAGATCCGGCTTTGATCAGCAAACTCGAGCCAACCATTGTATACCTCTAAATTGTATAGTTCCAAACTAGACCATTACGAACGAAGAGTTTTTCCGTAGAACTTGACTTGCTAAATAACTTCATTAACTCGGTGAGAATGGCCAGCCAGCAGCCAGGGAATTGGCGTCGCCTGTTAACCTGCCTGTAATTCATAGATCCATGAATTATTCCACGTGTTGCTCGAAATACGTTTAGTTAACTCGAGCGGAACGGTTAGAGCCAAATTAATAGAGCATAATTGTCCGAATTGTTTGGAACTCGTCGGCACAAATCGAATTGCAAACGACGTGTCCCCAAACGCAAACGATTTGTCTCTCGGCGTTCATCTTAATTCATCTGAATCAAAATCGCTTGGACCGAACGTAGCGCTCGAGGAAACAGCTTGATTTGTTCTTCCTGGCGTTGCTACCGCGAGTGCTAGAGATGGGATCGAGTGCTTCACAAGTAGATTCGAATCCTTAGTTGCGAGATTTAGGTTCCGAACCCTTTATGAGATATTTCTATGATTTGTTGAGTTTGTACAAATATATTTGACGCCCATACACTTGATACATTTGCTTTCATTTCCCAAGATTGTAGTCTTTCATTTTACTAAAATCACCAAACAGCTTAGCATTAATTAATATTGAGAACACAGTTTTCAGTTCAAGGAACCTCTCTTTCTGAATGGTCTTTGAAACGTGACAAAAATTATTTCTATTCCTTTATACAAAGTTATCAAATTTTATGCATAGGAATATTCACCATTATATCAGTACGAATGCATCTGACATTTACAAAGATTCCTATTCCTGTCCCATATACGTGAGAACTGAGGAAAAAATAAATTTTATTTTAAACGAATTACACGTACACGATATAAGCGGTACTTGGATTTCTCCGCTGGGACGGAAAAGATCACTCTGTAAAATTTTGATTTCCAAGATTTCCAAGTACTACTTCTTAGTACTTTACAAACGTTCGAACTACTTAAGAGTACGTTTCGAATGAAATGAATACACTGGCAAGCTACACTCATTGATATATATATATATATATATATATATATATTCAATATATATATATATATATATATATATATATATATATATTCATTTTCGAGCAATATTTGGAATTCGCGAAACGAAACTTAGATATCAATATTGATTTGTATAAAATTGTATGTTTTGTTTACATAAATATATACTGAATCGTATGTAGTATATATCTAACTTGTCCTGTATACGATAAAACGAATACATCTGCAAATGTGATTCGCGGGAGTATTTTTAATCTCGACTAGTTCGAAAATTTGGAAACTGAACTTGACACGGATCCGTAAGTACACGTCGATCCCA